AGGAACAGGAGTATCAAGGTTATGGATACTTTTACAAATGGATAGGAATGACAATGATAATTTATTATCATAACGTTATTTTGGTTGAAGTATTTTTCCTTAATCATCTCTATCCATAATCTATCTATTATGACCTTGATAGAAAAAAAAATAGTACTATTGTACGTCCATACAATTTCGATCATTCTCTACTTTGGTCTACAAGTGAGTAGAATAGACTAGTTCATTATGGATCCATTTTAAAAATGGATTCTTTTTCCCCCTACCATAGTTATCCATAGAGCAAGAATCGCTAATAATATATTCTATAGCGTTGATGATCATTGTCATTGCAACAACTAAACTCGTCGTCCCCCCCCCCCCATCATATCAAATTATTTTACTATAGCGATAGGATGATATAGAAAAATTTCATGTTAGAGTGGCGAGAACCTTGGGTATACAGTATAGTAACTTAGACTTTTAAGTGAATATTAAAATATCTGGTAATACACTTGTACCTGTTATAACTTATTCGTCTTGACCAAGCTTGCTACATGTTATTAGCAATCCGTCGTATTGATTGTCATCACTATTGACATAGACACTAAATTAATGAAAGACGGGATGGGATGGCTTGTAGAATAGTAATTCATCAAGCTACTGTACTAGCAAAAAATCGAAAATTTTTTTTTCCATACAATCGATCAGAGCAACCACTTTTATAGTCAAATTTGAAAATTTTCCCTTCGTCATCAGTAGATGATTGTGGTCAAGCTAAGCTTTATAGGATATCTATCGACAGCATAGTACTTATTTCGATTAATGTGTCCAAGCATAAATCGGTATGCAATCGATTGATTTGTAATGGAGACCGACCCAATCTTTTCCAATCCATTTGGTAGGGATAATATAGAAATAATATCCATTGGAAAACACCCTGCCTTCATTGCACAACCGTTGAAAACTTCTTAGGCATGTCAAATCCATTGCAATAGAATGGCTATCAGTAATACATCATCGATATACTGTAGTAGTATTCTATTTGCATAGAATATCCACCAATAGCGTCCATGATGGACATATTAAAATATTAATGACACTATAAGTTAGTACTGGACCGAATTCCAATGATCAATAAATAGAAAGCTTAATAACAAATAACACTTGAACAAACGTAAAATTAAGACGATTCCATTGCGCGATGACAAGGATATCATTGACAGACAACAGCTATTGTATCCGCCATTGCTGTTATTGACTCTAGTTAAAATAGGAATCAATCAATCATTTTTTAAAGCCGATCGCTAGAGTAATTACTTTTGCAATAAATTTCAAACGTCAACATTTTGGATCTATCTTGAACTACAATCAATCCTCTGACTATAGATTATAATAAATATTTTTATTCATCAAGAGAGTATCACGAATAATCGTTCTATCTTGATGCATTTAAATGCTATTTCTACTTTTACATTCAAAGAAATGAGTCCATTATCCATCTGATTCTATTGTCTTCAAACTGACATTCATAACTATTTAAATCAATAAAAATGTTCAATTGACATTGACTACCTTAAAGTAGTTATAATATCTTGACTAGAATAGCAGATAGAATCGAAGCTAATTTTTTTTTTCACTTTCGATATCAAAGCTGTAACTTGTTGTATTAAACTAAATTAGTTAGGATAAGCGTGAAATAAAATAAGAAAAGCGATTTTACAAAGTAGTGGTAGTGTAATATTCTCTCCCAATATCTATACCTAGCATCGATATTGGAACATGAAGATACTTTCATCAACTTGGGTAACAAATTCATTTTACAGTACAGCGGTATTCCAATGTACTACATCGACATGCTTACAGTCGATAGGGAGAATAAATCAACTAAATTGAATAGAAATGAACAGTTTTGTGTAGAATGTTCAATTGGCATAGGACTACCGTAAAGTAGTCATATCTTGACTAGAATAGCAGATAGAATAGAAGCTAATTTTTTTTTCACTTACGATATCAAAGCTAGAACTTATTCTATTAAATTAAATTAGTTAGGATAAGCGTGAAATGAGATTAGAAAAGCGATTTTACAAAGTAGTGGTAGTGTAATATTCTCTCCCAATATCTATACCTAGCATCGATATTGGAACATGAAGATACTTTCATCAACTTGGGTAACAAATTCATTTTACAGTACAGCGGTATTCCAATGTACTACATCGACATGCTTACAGTCGATAGGGAGAATAAATCAACAAAATTGAATAGAAATGAACAGTTTTGTGTAGAATGTTCAATTGGCATAGGACTACCGTAAAGTAGTCATATCTTGACTAGAATAGCAGATAGAATAGAAGCTAATTTTTTTTTCACTTACGATATCAAAGCTAGAACTTATTCTATTAAATTAAATTAGTTAGGATAAGCGTGAAATGAGATTAGAAAAGCGATTTTACAAAGTAGTGGTAGTGTAATATTCTCTCCAATATCTATACCTAGCATCGATATTGGAACATGAAGATACTTTCATCAACTTGGGTAACAAATTCATTTTACAGTACAGCGGTATTCCAATGTATTACATCGACATGCTTACAGTCGATAGGGAGAATAAATCAACTAAATTGAATAGAAATGAACAGTTTTGTGTAGGTTGAGCATTTCAAAATGAAGTGATACTAGTACAACACATACATAACTTGTTAAGCTACGTATACCGAAAGAGTAAATTTGGCCTACTGTATTTCTTAATATACCTAGAATGAATTGGCTATGAAGGTAAAAAAACGAAATCAATTTTATTTTATTTTTTTTTTTTTGCTGTCTATTCTAAACTACCAAATTTCACCTAGTTAATACAATAGACCAAAAGGTACAATTTTTTACAGATCACAAACCATACAAAGAAAGGGGTAGCCAACGATAAATGAATTCTAGGTACCAAAAAAAATGAAATAACTCTCTAAACTAGTGCTCAATGGTAGTAGTCGGTCAAAGAACGACAATTAATAATTGAATATCAAACTAAATATTTTGGATTTGAAGGCATCATCACTCAAATTTAAGCCAACCTTGACAGTTGATAACTACCATTTTTAACCATTGACTATATATCAAAGAATGAAATAGATTAGTAACTGCGATGTATTCATTTTTAGCTTAAAACAACCCTCCTACTGTATTTAACACTTATGGACTTGACAGTGGATAACTATCATTTTATTTTTCAGCATTTATTATATTCAAGAATGAAACATTAATAGCTGTAAGCTATGCAGGCATGGATCAATTTTAACTTTAAAACAACCTCTTCTTTCTGATTTAAACACCTATTCACTGGATCATTGATAACTATTACTTCATGCTTGAGCATCCATTCTATTGAAGAATGAAACATATTAATAACTGTAAACTAAAGAGATATGTATTCATTTTTATTTTAAAATGACTCTCGTCTTTGTAATTGAAATACAAGCGTACTTTTGATCAATTCAAAGATATTGTGAAGACATAGATTGAATTTAAAATAACTATCTTACTACTGCTTAATAGAAGTCATTCTCCTATGAAGTAATTGGGGTGGAACGATAATACATAAAAAAACGCTTGACTATACAAAATAACCCCGTCCTCAGAAATAGAAATGAGTAGTTGTATCAATAGAAGTATGATCATGTATTGATTGATTTAATTTTTAAGGCCTAGCTCTCATTATTCTCTGTTCCTTATTTACTTACAATATGTATGTATCATCAAATATAGATAAAGCGATAAACGGTAGATATTGTATGTGATAAGGTCATAAATAGAACTAGCAGAAGATTAGGGTGCGATTAATTTGCACTTAAAAATTCATCAATTGCATACACTATACATCTACCCTTAATACCTTTTGAGGACTATCAATCACCGTAGATAAGAACAAATTGAGATTATTATCGATGGAAAATATAAACTAGTAATGGACTTGATAAATTTTTTAATAAAGATGTACAGTACAGTATATTCTCCTCTAGCATAATAATTTTATAGTTTATATTATTGTAAACGGAAAATATAAAACTAGTGATTCACTTGACAAATTTCCTCTAACGATACATCTTAGACGTTAATACATTGATTTTATATCGTTATGTTATACTTGAAAATAACCAATTTTTTAATCATTTTGCACTACACTGTTAAGCTAATATTGTTTCTATAATTAATATTAGACGAAATGGTACCCGAAGACCTACGATAATTCCATTCGAGCCTCCAGAACTATCGATACAAAATAGTGAAAAGCAGCTAAAACCATGCAATCCAGGAGTATTTATACTACATATGGTCAACCGACAGATATATCTTAGCTACAAGTATGTAAAAAGTGAATTATATAGTTATACAATTCTATTTCATCAGCTATAATGTTAAATTGACGTTATTAGCTATACTTTAACTCAATTAATAATTCAACCAGTATGATGTAACAATGTTGCTTATAATGTCAATATAGATCAGCTGAAAGGGAAATTAGCCATGCGCCAATATCGGTCACCGCAGAAGGTTATAACCTGAACAAGAAAAATTATACCGATATTAAAATGCTAATAGAATTTCATAGCAAACACCCTATCAATGGCACCTTACTATCGATACAGGTAAATTGAAATAACTTGAAAAGTTAACATATAAACTGTATATTTAGCCATAGCTGTTACCTCATAATTTCGTTTTTATAATGTACGATATATATGTATACTTAATTGATACGAAATATAGCAACAACCTGAATGCAACATTCCTGTTTGGAACGCTCCTGACATCAACCCTCAAGCAAAGAGTAAGCATCATCATCAATTAATGATTGGTAACGCGTTTGATGATATTCGCAAGAATGGACGCATCATTAAAATTTTAGTCAGTGCATCTCACACTGGTTAGTAATATGAATAAATCATTTTTAGTACAATTGTAGTTTTTATCGATCATCGGTAGATGCATTTATTTCGTTATTTTAATACTTGTTCAATCAATCATACATACGTATATTCATTGTAGACTTCAATCAAGAGAGACAGATGTTATTAGAACGAGTCTTTCCGAAAATACGACTACATTGTTTTGAGCATGGATATGATTTTCAAGCTATTGATGTAACCTGGGGTATTAAAAGCCTTATATTAGATGAGCACAATATTACTCGATTGACGTTAGATTTGCTACGTTACTGCCAAGAGCAATCCGTTGGGCCTAACTTTATCGTAAGTCATACAATTATGTTATAAAAGATTATTAAAAAAAATTACTGCTGTGTAAAACGTTTTGACATTTTAAAATCATAAATATGAAACGTATTCGATATTTTTAGACCTTAGTGGGTGACAGATATGGTTATCGTCCACTGCCAACTAAAATTTTCGATAAAGAATTTAAGCAGATGTTAGCAGCTATTGAAAATCAGGAGCATAGGAAATTTTTTACCGAGTGGTTTGTGTTAGATGAAAATTCTGTTCCTGCGACGCATGTATTACAGCCAATTAGTTCAGTATACCGTGATTTTAACTCAACAAGTAGCAATGCACGCAAGGCTGCCGAGGGAAATTGGCAGAAAGCATTCAATAGATTGCAAGATATTTTATATTCAAGTCTGAAAGGAATATCTGACGAAAAAGCAAGACCGAAATATTTGCTATCTGGTCAGTATTTCAATATATATAGAGAGAGAGATAATGACGTACGTCTTGCTCTCCTTTTACAATTATAGACTTACATAATTGGTATTATCTTACATAAATGACCATCCGTTAGGTCCATTAACAAATAATCTTTTTCTCATTTCCACAGAAACCCATATGATCGCTCAGGAAGCCATATTGCGATCAGATAATCCTAACTTTAATTGTATCTTAATGCGTAGAAATATTACAGATATTAAAAAATTCGTTGGCAATGATTCTAAAATAAGTGATTACTTAGATGTTAACCCTGAATCTGGCGTTATCGATAGCCACGCTCAAGATTTGTTGTCAACACTTATTGATAACTACATTCCTTCTAGACTACACCATACCAATATATTGAGTTATGATGTAAAGTGGAAAGCTAATGTTGGAATCGACAAGAACAAATCAACAGATCATTCCAAGTATATGAATGGACTATGTACTGACGTTACGGAAAAGTTAACATCCTTAGTTGATCAAGCGATCCAAACGCATTCTTCGCTAAACTTTAATGATGATGATCTCTATGAAGAAGTTAATCACCATACTGCGCTGTGTTTAACAAAATTTAATGAATTTCATGGATGCGAAGATCTCTTACAAGCTATCGAACGTTATGTACGAAGTAATAGCAAGCAACCTCTTGTATTATTAGGTCCCTCAGGATGTGGCAAAACATCATTAATATCTGCAGCTACTAGAGAATGCAAAAAATGGCTAGGATCATCTGGCTGTGTTGTTGTACGCTATTGCGGTACATCACCTGAATCTGGTAATATAAGATTACTGCTAAGAAGCGTATGTCAACAATTTCGAAAAATTTATAACGGTGACCCAGCTACTACACCAGAGGTAAACCTATCAACATAACTCTTTTATTCTATCATAATTTACAACGTATCACTTGAGTAGTCCGTAATTATAACTTCCTTAACTATGCAGACTTATAAAGAACTAAGGGACGACCTAATGAAACGGTTAAAAATGGCTACCACCTTTTTTCCGCAAGTTCTTATAATTGATGGTTTAGATCAATTATCAGATGATGATAATGCACACGAAATACAATGGTTACCGAAGACATTACCGGAGTACGTTAAAGTTATCCTATCAGTGAGATCAGACTCATCTAGTCCTGCTTTACGAAGTTTAAGGGTAAATTTCATTCACTGTGATTTATGTAATTATTCTTGCTCAAAATTTTTCTATTCAAAAAATTTTCCACAATCTTGATGTTTTAATAAATATACTCTTGATGTTGACCGTTTACACAGACAATATACGCAAGTGAATCAAACTTTCTAGAAGTACCCCCTATGTCAGAATCTGAAGCCAGCATCGTTTTTGATATATGGATGAATACCAAAGCACGACGCCAAGTTGGTAGTGATCAAATAAATGCGATTATGCGTACTTTCTCCAAATGTCCTAAACCACTTTTTCTCAAGTTAATTTACGAAAGATCATGTAAATGGCATTCATATTCTAAAGGTGACGTAACATTTTTAGCCTCAACCTTAGAAGAAATTGTTGAACAACATTTCGAAACTTTAGAACAAAAACATGGAAAAGTTTTAGTTAGCTCTGCTTACGGATATATTACAGCCTCACGCTATGGTTTAACAGAGTCTGAAATAGAAGATCTCTTATCATCAGATAACGACGTTATTACCGCTATCTATGATAAAAATGTCCCGACAGTTGCACGTATTCCACCGATCACATGGATCCGATTACGAGCTGATGCTGGTAGCTACTTAAGCTTGTATACCGCCAATCGATGTCGTGTACTCAAATGGTTTCATCGATTTATTGATGAATGCGCCGCAAGGCGATATCTATCTTCAGAACAACAACGTAAAAATAATTACACTGCCCTAAGTGACTATTTTCGCGGTACTTGGAGTAATAATCGGAAAAAGCCTTGTAAGAATACAAGTGTGGACAGGTTATTACCTCCTCAACCACTAATATATAGCACCAAGGAAGGAAATAGGCCAATATACAATTTCCGTAAATTGGCTGAACTACCTTATCACTTACTTCGTGCAGGTAACAACTATCGTAAAAATGTACCATAATATAGTGTATGAAACGTTTAACAAAGAATTTTTGTTCTCTTTTTAAAAATACTACTAAAATAATATTGTTAGCATACCACTCACATGCACTACCGATTAATTATGGTATATCCCAAAAAGTAAATCATTCATTTTATCAACTTATACTTTCCACATAGGTGAAATTGACAAAATGAAGGAAGAAACACTTTGTAATTATGAATTTATTTTGACCAAAGCTTGTGCAATGTCAGTGGCACAAGTTTTAGACGACATCAATCTTGCCCTTCAAAGTCCAGGAAGTGTCGGCGACAAAGAATTACAACTTCTACATGATGCTCTAGTAATATCTATGAATGCCCTCAAAATGGACCCTACTCAGCTTGCATCTCAATTAATTGGTCGAATTGGTCGAAGTGTTGATAAAAAATTAACACATTTAAATGCTCTCTTACAACAGGCAATGAAGCCATCAATCCCTAATTTAATTCCACGTCGAGAATGCTTAACTAGGCCTGGTAGTGAAAAACCAAACCTAGCTAGCATCGATATGGCAAGTCTTAATATGGAAAAATTATATATGAATAATTCAAACGTCAATGTTACAACTACTTCAAAGAAACGTAAAACTTTTACAGTATGGAATGTTAACAGTTGCCTTCCAGTCCGCTCATTTCGAAATATTACCGTTGATCAAATTGTTATCATGAAAAGCAACAAAATAGCTGTTTACTTCGATCGTCGAATTGTTATCATTGATTTAGATTCCGGTGAAGTATTAAACAAGATCAAGGGATTTCACTATCAGCCCAAATTTCTTGATAATGAACACCTAGTAACTCTTTCTCGTGGTAGAAAATTTGTCAAGATCGTTAATGCTATATCGGGTGACTCTATTGCATCTTTAAAGGCAGATCAGAAAAATTGTATCGATCGTTTAATGGTTAGTAGTGCAGGTAGTTTAGCTTTATGTATTTACAAGACCGAGGAAAATATCATCGGATTTATTTCTTGGGACCTTAAAACAAAGCAACAATTACCTAAATTTGATATCAAAGATTATATCTTTAAAGAGCATATTATAAGATATTCGTCTCTAAGTGATGATGGCGAAATATTTGTTGCCGCTTCTGATGGAACACGTAAATCAGCAGAAAAGCAAGCTGCCGTAGTATTTGACGTAAAAAGCGGCAAAGTTAACTTTGGCCTATTGTATGAATCATCTCAAGCCAGAGGATTGCCAATTGGTTTTACATGTTTTACCATCTCGAAAGATATTATATTATCTGGTTGCAAAGATAGTAGCCTTCGTTGCTGGAATAGAATTAACGGTAAAGTAATTCACTCATTAAAGGGCCATAGTAGGCCAGTTCAACAGATTCGAGTAGATGAAGATAGCTACCGTGCTATCACGGTTGCAAACCATCGTGAAGATAACAGTATCAGACTTTGGGATGTCAGACAAGGTTTACCTCTAAGTTGTTTTATACCAGATGAAATTCCTAAATGTGTTGGTATCACAAACTGTGGTTCATGGATTGTATTCTCCGTTGAAAAAGCCGAGAATTTAGGAGTACTTGGCCTCTTTTCGAATAAATCCGAGCCTGGTACTGTTAATGAAGAACGTGCTATCGATGATGCCTTCACTGAAATCGATCTTGAACCTTGTTGTACAGCGCCGCATGATCCATTTGATGGCGATGACGATGTTGATGAATATGAATTTGATGCAGTCACAATCGAAACCGACACCTCAACAGACCCTATGACCAGTGATGACTTATAATAAAATAGCTGTTCCAACTTTTAATTATTAAAAAAATTTTTAATATTTTACAGACTTGTCTTGAATGATAGATGTTTGTTCGTGCCATCAATTTAGACAACTGAATTTGTTCATTGATTCGAGCGTTGAATGACATGTGTAGAATGCGTTATTTGTAACGCTATTTACACTCATTCCGTTAAATACGTAATTACGATTTATCATTGAAGTTTACAGTATTTTCTTGCTATAAATTAGCTATAATGTTACGCTCGATTCTTAAAATGATAATTTCAAATATCGTAATTGCTGCTTCTGCTTCAGTAAGGGTAACATGTTTCACAGTTCTTACATATACCATATTTTTATTCTACCCTTATAACGGATCTGATTGAAGTAGTCAAAGCTGAAAAACGCGGTTGTCAGAAGACAACTACAATGACAGCTGCTTTATATCTATATGACATGGATTTAGGAGACGAAAAATATGATGTAGTTTATTCTAAGAATTGAAAAATATTTTACTTTCCTACTAAAGTGCTATGGCTAGATCTTTTAACGGAGATTGCCCATTATTAATATTATGGTATGCGGACTTTAGATGAAATAATCTCAATTGTAGGAAATAACAACTGATCTTTGCTTTTAACGGTAGCTGTAAAGTCTTGACTTTATTCTTTAGGTAAGTGATGGCTAAGTTCCAACACTACTCCTTCTTGATTTTCTACTAATGCGACGTTTTAAATATATTTGAATTGTATCACCTCGACTAAGATAATTACAAAATTTTTTCAGTTTCAATCGAATATTCCAAAAAAATTTGTCCTAATTTACTAAGATCTCATTTTACTTGTACAATGATCTTCAACGTTACTAATCTGCCTACCACAAAGAGTATGCAACGGTTTACTACCGAAATTGTTGTTGACTTAACTGATGATCTATGTAACGTTGTAATATTTGAACTTTGTAGATAAAAATTTACTTTGCAGTTTGCACTTCCCTTTGAAAAGAAGGATAATATTAAAGTTTTTATGATAATAAATAAGGTATATGAGTATTAGAATTTCCGGTGTTACATTTCGATCGGTGGATGATGTACTAAAATAGAAAAAATAAAAATAGTTAATGTTGTAAACTTGTAAAATAATACGTTATTACACGTTTACCTATATTAAAATACTACATTATTTATAGGCAGCGCAGGCCAATAGAAGATAATGCAAAGATAAATTTCAGCTATATGATTATTGAGATTGAAACGGATAGATAATAGGACTCTTATTGTGTTTTACAATAATATCTGTATTGCACATGCATAATTATCTATCAAATATCAGTAATACAGTAGATAAACCATCGAAACTGCTGCAACAACACATGAAATAAAATAAATGTTTAGAAGTTCGTGTTTGCAGTATATGCACTGTACCACTCATATTCTGTAGTCAATACTGAAGACTATTATAAGATGAAATTTACTACTGTGATGCACTCCCATTTTAAAAGATCATTATGAACTAGTAGAAAGGTCCAACTTGGACCGTAACTGCTAAAAGAAAAAGTAAAACCTACTTGAACTGATTCGATTTATTGGAGAAGTTCTTGAATACTTTATTTCCACTCACTTGCTACAACCTACAACGAGATTACGCTGTCTCTCGGTTGTGGATGATTTATGAATAAAATTTTTCTGTAACTTCTGTAAGAGTAAAGTCAAGAAAATCATAAAATTCATGCTAGGAGGACCTTCAGCAAGCCCTAACTATAGATAATTACCCAAGTTGGTTATATCCGCAATTAAAATAATAGAATTGCGAACACCAAATGCCATACTAGAAGAGAAAGAAAAACTCTGCAGAGTAGCAATCTTAGTTTGAACTGTACGTGTATAAGAGCATCCTGTACATACTGGTATGTATCTAGTATGTATCTAGTAGTTCTGTGGATCGATTCTAAATGATAAATAAATATGATAAGTACATAAGACACTATCGTGGACATATATAAACGTAGTAGAGCTCGCTTCCCTCATCATTTGAGCCTTTTCATATCTTTGCATAGCATTCCAGTACCTGGGCTTTATCGAAAGCCGAGGAAATGGCCTATGAAGCGGCTAGCTCAGTACTAGTATCTCCTATAACACTGATCGCAAATGTATCCTAGACATGAGCGAATTCTGATGTATTCTATCGTATTGCCTCCAATATCCTATATGAATGCAACTTACGCTATCATACAGTAACTACATGAACTGATTTCATTCCTATGTACAGTTATAATAAATACTTGTAAGACCACCATTTACAATGCTATGAAACGTGGTGAAGAACTTAGAATCGGAATCCTGGCAGGCCTAACCATAAAAGAAACTGTTACATTGATAGTTGTCAACATCTAAATAAGAAAGTACCATTAGGAATCACAATTACAATCGCACAATATTATAATAACTACTATAGTATATCCAAGACTGTAATCGAATACTATATCTAACAAATACCGAAGTTAATATCTATTTATTTAGAACTACATTCAACTGTATTCCGGCAAGGCTCTACTGCTAAATTTTAGTGCGCCACTGTCTGTCTCTTCCTTAATCATTTAAAATAACGTTCGGTAAATGCCAGAAGAAAACATAACAGCTACCGTCCCAAATCGGTAAGTAACAAGTAGAAGTAATCTACCACTTAGCCACAAGATACGGTAACTGAATTCATAGCATACGCGTAATCACAGTTACTGAATAATGCCGCAGCATAGTATCTGTACACAGTGTACGGTCATAAATTACTGGAAAAAGAAGACTTTTATTAATTTTCCAGTAGCCCTGAAATTATCATAGAAATCTACCATTTCCAGGTATGTCTACTACTGTACAACATTTCTATTTCTATTATTCCTATTTCTGGGCAAATAAGCTATTTTTGTTATTAGAGCTTCAATAATCAATAATCTATATCAGGTCCAAAAGAAGTGAGCGTACTAAGAAAATTGAAATGTTCAAGTCAGAAAATCAGCCATGATATCGGTACCGCGACTTCAGTTGTTATTTGTTAATGACAAGCTATGCGTAGATTTATTTGCAAGCGAAAATAGCCAGCATACCATGGTCTGTTCACAGTATACCGTAAACATATAAACTACTACAGGTAAGAACATCCAGTAGTATACAGTATTACACAACATTGAATAGCCCAATTTAATTTCAATCAATCAATTGAGCTACAACATTAACAAGCAGCCATGTTGAACCTTGCGAGTTTTGCCTATTCCGCAGTGCTGCAAGAATGTAGAGTAGCTATAAATAGTAAAATCTCCCATCCTATCATCGGTTGGCGCTGTGGCTTAGTTGGTTAAAGCGCCTGTCTAGTAAACAGGAGATCCCCGGTTCGAATCCGGGCAGTGCCTCTCTTTTTGTTTTTTTTTCCTATTTCCATCCGTACTCTACTGTACACTGTACAGTACTGACGACACAGTATAGGGGATCATTCCATAGTACTGTATACTAGGGTACCATATAGATAGAACATCCCGTAACAACAGTTTAAGGCGGTGACGTTAATGGGTTGTTTATTTGCCTTGTTTACTTCCAGTTGTTGTATATTGTTTATTTTATTTTTCATTAACTGAACCCGCTGAGCAAGGCAAAAGATCATTCCTTCCTTGCTTCATGTTCTATAACCATGTAGTCATGGATAATTGGTATCAATTCCTCTGAAACTATCGTTAGTGAGGCATCATTAATTCTTGCATAAAAACATCTTGAAATACGAACTATATTAACCAAATTATGGACAGGCCATACGGTCGATGATGGGATATACAAGCTTGATACGAGTATAGTCAATTAGTCATGGACCACTAGATACTTTCTATAGGGTATAGTATCTAATGGTCTAGGGTACAGTATCAAAACACGATAATAAAGTGTCCAATAAATTAACTCGACTGTATATCAAACCCTCCCAATATTGTACAATATTGTCGCTACAGTATTCACTATATTGATATATCATATAATGTCGACGGTGATAGCCTTGCATGCAATTCTGCCAACTGCTCTAGGACTACAATTAACAATGTCAACATAGTATAGCAATGCTGAAATGGGTTGCATTGTAAGCTGCTAGAAGAGTTTGTTGTTGTAGTCATGAAGTTACTCAAATCACTTTAGAGTAGCCTACGATCGTTCAACCTAGAAAACACGGCTTTAGTATACTTATATCTCTACGTGACTTAATGATGAAGATCCTTTCGAGGATTTTTTAATACATGTGCTACGCTAACAAATTTTAGCTTGCTTTTCGTATTTCATAAAATTAAAGAATGATCTTTTGTTTAAACATTTCAATTAACGAATAGTAATATGATTCTATAATAAAACGGACAGCATCGAGGATTGCTAAATGGAGATTGAGCTATTTTACAATAAGGAAATGCGCTATTTTATTGCAAGCACAATCTACCTTAACCATGTATGCATACAATTCCTTTTCATTTGACGGAGTGGCTACTAACAATACAATTGCGATAATCTCTCATCGCTAGAATTCAAAGTAGATTTTAATATCTGGGAAATTATCCCCGTGGTAAAATTATTACATACAGTACAGTAAAGCATCTATAATCAATCATGCAAAAACGTCAACAACTTAGCAAATAAAATACTCATAGACACGAAGATTTCAGCTAAATTAAAAGCTTTTATGTCCATGTATAAATTTGATAAATTGCAATAATTAAATAAACAGGCAGGTAGCTCAAACGGAATATAATGATTACAATTGATTCACTAATTTCGAAGCTGTAATAATTAATTAATTATTACTAGATTGTAATAACTATGTATTACCATTGATATGAACCTTAGTCAATTTACATTCACTAAATGTAACGAGCATATGAATAGGAATGGATCCTTAAACACATACAGCAACAAGTATATTTGTGAACGAATACTGCAATACATTGTTAATGATTCAATACGATTATAAACTATAGTATAGATACAACTCCGCATAAATTCATATATCAGATACTGACAGTCCAAGCATAAAGATGAGAACAGTTGTAGTATATTTTGCGAAGGATACATGAAAATATTGTATTATAAATCCAATAGTTATTATCTTTGAATAATATTAACTACATAGAAACTAGATTCATGATGTACTTTAAAAATAGAACGAATAAATCGCTAAATAATGCAACATTATGCAATACCGTAATCGAGTGTAGACATTCCTAATAGTAACCTATTTTATAATTAGTGATTATGATCTCTCATACGTGTAACATGTAACTATGAAACCCGAAAATCATTAAAGCATGATTTCAATATTTTCCTCTTTCTAATACAATCATCGCAGTACAGAAACATATTCCTCCCTTGTAAAACATGACAATAAATCAGCACGTACACAGTATACATTAGCCATATCTCAAACATTATCTACAATTATAATAGCACAAAACGAAGAATTACTATCAGATCAGCAACTTTGCAATGAGTAGTAGCCTAGCTATATGTCATCCTAAACTTTAGCTAAGTTGATTATATCAGAATACAAGACAAGAAGTTACATTTGTAATTTCATCAAGGTTTTATATTAATAATTAACTACGGTTTTTGCAGCTTGGTGATTTCCGTAATCAGATAGGATTTTTCATCCATAAATTGCTCGTCATCTAAAATGTCAATGGCAAAACAATTATTATTTTAGCAATACGCGTATAAAGTATATTATCAAATCAAATTTAGCCTTGATAACTATAAAAGCACCTGTTCTATCTGTTTGAAATTTAGGCAAGAATGTTAATAGTTTCTCCTTATTCTTAAATAAAATATCTATTATGGGTTTAGCCTTATTAGGGTTCGCAACAAAAACCTATCGTAGGAATACGTAAGTTGTTATTATCACTATTATAGCAATGATATAGAAATTTATCTGATATATTTTATGGTATTAGTCTGAATCATCGATAAGAAATAGCTATAAAGTGCACCTTAAACACATGGAAGGCTTCAAATTGAATATTTCTACTCTTATCCTTGAGTAAATTCATGATAAGCTTAAGATTTTCCGTATTACCAACGTATTTCGTCATCGAAGAAAAATTGTGATGATCCAGCAAGATTTCTCCCAATAACTGCAATCAAAAGATTCCCTTCTTTTATTAGATGTATGTTATCTATACGTGTGTGTATACGATATAAATTATATTATTGGTTCTTGTATACCTTCAAAGATTGCCTTTTGGTCACATAATTTTCTGACGTTAATAACTTGACGTAATGTTCAAAAAGCTATCACAAGAATTATGAACAATCATGATATTTTAGTTCGTATTATTCAGTAGATGAAAATGATAGTACATTTCCTAGCTGCTTTAACAATTAGTAACACTTGTATATACATCATCTACCTTGTCATAATTTTTCTCGATAAATTCGGCACATAGCGTTTTATGCTTTGTTAATAAATCCTAAAGGCAAATGGTAATCATTTTTACTACAGCTGCTATTTGACAAGGGGAATAAAATTAGCAAGGCACGGAAATACTCGTATGCAATTACCTTAAACGTAGAGAATGCATCAGAAGCAACATCAAAAGCAGAAAGTTCGACATAAGTAAAAAATTGATAGAAGGCATCAGAACTTAGAATAAATTTCGCCAATATATCGTATTTGACACACTCTCTTAGAATTATGCCACAATTGAGGGCAATATCTGAATTTTCGTAGCTTCAATTGTTGCATGTTGTAAGTTATATAGCAGTAAAATAATACAAATTTTGATTATAACCTTGATAAACACCAAATAACGTATACTATTAACTGAAGTTGAGAGTAAGACGATTAATAGCATAATAATTAAAGTTACCCTTGGATTAAAGTGAAAAGGATTTCATTTTTACTGCGAACATATTCAACAGTAGGTGAGCGAGTGCCGATTTGTCTCCTAAGTAAAATATTAAAAATCTGGACGACATCCTTTTTCGCCTAATCAAGAGTCAAAAATTAGATTTATTAGAGAAAGAAGAACAAACTTGTTTCTAATATGTTAAATCAAATACTGGATGCCATTTTTATTCACCTCAAATTCCAATCTATGAAGATGATTAACCAGAAACAGCAATAAGTCGAAGTTATAAATTTCTTGCGCTAATTGAGCGACTTGCTCTGTTTGTGGCTCTTGATCTATAAATAAAAAAAGTAGTAGTATTTTAATATTTTGCAGATGTTCCTTCAATGTACGTACTCTACTCTGCAAGAATAGACGACTACATCCATGGCCTGATCATTATTTACAAAGATTAATTGAACTAGAATCTAAATTGAAAGTACTACACCGAGCTTATAACTAGATAATTCAGTGTAGAGTACTGTACAAGTATGATGTCAACTTTTTGAACCATGACACGCAGCTTTCTTAATTATCGTATTATTTTGACCTTTCAAAGCACAATTATAATGACGGTTACAATTAATTAATACTATCCTCTACAGCTGTACGCTATAACGAGATATTTCGATGGTGTACGATTTATCTACTATAGCATAAAAAAACAGTATCTTACTTGTCAATAACTTGTTACTAAGTATAAGTTAACGTACTACCATGCATGCCACTTCCTCACATTGATGTGTAATCGTTCAATACAAATTAGAATTAATATATAACATTGACGTAATGTTACCAAAATCGCCGTACTAAAGGTAAATAATTGATAGCAACTCTCTTACAACTTTACATCATTAACCAATTGTAAATTGGCCAATATTGTATCAAAATAAAAATGTATTGAACTACAGTATTAGTACCACTATCAAACTGGAACATACGTCAGTAAGTGACAGCAATTATCTTGTTTACATCACATCGTTTATATCATTAACTTAACCAATTGTAAATTGTAAAGTTGCTAATACTGTATAGAGATAAAACGTCTTGAACTATAGTATCAATACCACTATCAGAGGGGAACATAAATGTAAGTTTCAAAAATTGAGGGAAACACTGTGCTGTACACTGTACAATCAAGCCATCTTACACCTTGACATCATAAACAAATTGTAAACTTGACAATCTGGAGATAAAACGTATTGAACTATCAATACCATAATCAAAGTGAAAAATAAATGTACTGCTCAGTTGTCGCCTTAACTGGCAAAATGCTTACCTCCAACTCCACATAATATATTCTTCATTGCTACCAATTGCTTACCAATTTCATCTGTAGCCTAATGATAAGGTGAATAGAATAGATTAGTAATTATATAGCGAGGCTTTTATACCTTTGCAATACATAACCTCCAAAATGAAATACCATTGGCATTGCATGTTACAGTCTAACCACACTATTTTTGCGTGCAGTAGTAGTCAATGTAATCTGTCATCGTTGAGAGTTATCTCTATGCGTTGAACAACTCGTGTTCAACGCTATCGCATTCAGAGGTAGAGAAAAGAGGTAAAAGTCATGGCAAAAATCATACGCACGCCCCAATTTTGTAACATAGCTTGATAACAGTGCTGTTACTCCCTATGATATTAGCACTATACTGCATCATCATGCAATTCAACCAATGTATTGAGTCTAAATCGTTCTTCATTGATTAAAAGCAATCAATCTTGATCACGTTCCAATCAATCATTTAAGAGCTCAATGGACTTTAAAATTTTGGCTTGAAATTCTGTCGTACAAACCAACTAAGTGAACCGCTTGTATTGATAGCTTAGCAATGGCACAAGGCAACAGTTTAACTGTATTTCATCTTTGTAGCATTTGGTCGAAGAATAAGGTTGACATATTGAATCCATCACGGCTTGTCCTAGACCGCATTCCAAGATACAATACTGTATGTTTGCCGTGACGATGACAGCGCCATTGAAGAGATAAAATGATCAGATAGTATCGAGTAAAGTATAAAGAATAAGCACGGGCATTTCTGATCTATCCAGTGTCATCAAGACAACTACAACAGTTGAAGAAAGAAAACAACTAGCCAACTCATTAGAGAACAGTTTTTGACCGTGCCTTGTTGCAGGGGATTACCCTCATCTACACAGAGTCGATTGTACTTGCCTAGTTTATGTCTACTTCTATGATACTCTGTATGCGTTATTACCCAATTGCATTGTGACAAAGAATAAGGCGAAGTTATTACAGCAAGATTGAAAAATCATGGTGTCTACAATCGATTGAGTCGTATCGTTTCCGATGGTTGAAATTGGAATTCTACAATGTCGTTGTGGTTAAAATGGATTGCACTTGGATATTGTATGTTGTCCTAAGCAAGTATAGTACTACCCATGTTTTGTAGAGTAGTCTCATTACTACTAAGGCAATAGTATGCCAAGTTAGCCTAGCCCTTGAGAGAAACCCATTCATTATCATCGATCAGACTCTAAACTTAAGTTAAGACTACAACCGAGACAATACCGTTCAAGCCCACCAATGCCATTCATTGCATTGATGACTATGGTATAGGATAACACTTTACAATTAGAAAATGATGGCGGAGTCATGAGTTGAGATGAACACCAAGTCGGAAAGCTTCAAAGCACTATGTCGACAACAGCAGTAGTGGATGACAACGTTGTAAGTAGGGTTTACCTTCTCTGCTTTCTTGCCAGAACCTTCTTTAATGATTGTCGCCAAAGCATCGCGAGAAATCCGAACAAGCTCATAGGGCGATTTCTGCTTGGAACCAAATAGCGGCATGGTCGACAAAACAAGGTTGATTACTCCTTCTAATCCTTACAAGGCAGCGATTGCTGACGACTTTTGAAAAAACTGCAAATCCAAAATCAAGTCCAATATTCAACTCCTGCTGCAACTTGCTCTGCTGTATCCCACAGCTGTATGGACGTATGGACGTACTTACGCTTTCTTGTTGTCGAGGCGAGGAACGGCGCGCCGTACTGGTCTGTACTAGACCGTACTGGTACGCGGCGCATCGGTCTACAGTACACTGTACTGTACTGTACAGTGTACAGTGCTGACAGCATGATCCCAGAGCAAAGGATCCTCCCTCGTCTACAGTACTGTACTACAGACTCTGCACTCTACAGTGTACAGTACAGTACTGTAGAGGTCCGCAGAACAACTCCAGTGTGTGGCACGTGACTTGCGGCGCCTTGGATGTTGTTGACTGGAAGTTGATTTGGCCGCTTCGCTGGCGCTGCCAGTCTTTTACGGCGTACTGTACACTGTACACTGTACGCTACGGCTCGATCAGGCTAGATGTGCAGTACTGTACTGTACTGTACTGTAAAACACAAGTTGTTGGCTTTGTTTCCAGTACAACAGCAAGAAATAATACGACAAGTATTTTACACATTTTGGTACAGTACTGTACACTGTACAGTAGAACACCAAGAAATACTGTACTGTATGTACTGTACTGTACAGTGTACAGTACTACTGTAGCACGAAGAAAAAGCAGATTTTCCTTTCAGTACTGTAGCAAAATGTGTAAAATATTGCACATGTCCTACAGGATTACTGTCTACTGTATACAACAACGCCAGCTAAAATGTCTTCAATTAGAATTATTCAACCTATTCTTATGTCCAATCTTACAGTAAAAATGAACGCGATGACGTAAAACAGACCGGTAAAACAGATGAAATCGATGAAAAATAAATAAAATAAAATAGATAAAGTAGATGCAAAACAGATGTCGTTCCTTAGGGCTTTGCTTCCACTATAATACCAAAAAGTGAAAACGACATCTATTTTACACATTCTGGTACAGTACTGTATCGTCCAGTCCTGGTACAGTACACTGTACTGTGCACTACAGTGTACAGTATTGAAAGCAAAAGATGCTTTTTCTTCGCGCTGTTAACTAGGAACCCAAGGCAAAATGTCACTAATCGGAACAAATTAATGATTCAACCCATTCTTATGTCCAATCTTACAGTAAAAATGAACGTCTAATGTCGAACTACTAGTAGGACGTTGGTGAGAAGAAAAGTTTGACTTTTTCTTGGCGCTAGTACTGCACTGTGACTATGCTATGCCTACCATAGCAGCAACTTCAGTAGTTAACTCAAGGCAAAGCCCCTACTGGACTCAACCAATTCTTCTGCCCAATCTTACAGTACAGTACAGTAAAAATGAACAGCATGTCCAACTACACGTTAGTGAGAAAGAAAAGCTTGGCTTTTTCTTGGCGCTAGTACCGCACTCTGACTATGCTACGCCTAGTGAGTAGTGAACAAAAAGCAAAGCCCCAATTGGACTCTACCAATTCTTTCTGTACCTGTCTGTACAGTGTACATTGTGTATGCCCAATCTTACAGTAAAAAGAAGGGACACTTAACCACGGTGGGGGTGAGAAGAAAAGCTTTTGCTTTTTCTTCGCACTAGTACTGCACTGTGACTATGCTACGCCAACAATAGCAGGGACTAGTCAACAAAAAATTTTCCATATCCATTAGCAACCCAAGCCAAAGTCCCAATTAATTCATTATTCAACTTGACAAATTCTTATGTCCAATCTTACATTGAAAAGGACAGAGAAACACCACTACCTACTCACTGTACAATATATGTCACATACAAGACCGGTATTACGACGCGACTTGGACAGTAAAATGGTTGCAGCGACCGGACATCAAACAGCGAATGATCGCTTGAACTCCAAACTTGAAACAAATAGAATCATTCAATACTGCAATAAAAAGGAATCACAATACCAAGAGCCAATTGCTCAAGGTTGTACTGATCTATCTGCATGGAATTGGAGCCAAATTGAAAGTCCATTTCTTCAAAATGGATAATGGAAGCAACTCTTGTAGAGTGGAACATCTTTCAACCATTTTACAGCGCTCGCCGCGCCCCTGGAAGAGTGGTCTTATACAATTGCAACCCTAGAGGAAGGCTATGGAAAAATCGCGGAGTTTTACCAAGGGTGGTGAGAAACAGAGGGAAAGTTGGGGGTTGACTAGTCTCTGACTTGTATCTAAGCAATGCAATTATTACAATTGACAACTTTAGCATCTTCAACTAAAGGCATCGAAGTGTAGTATAAATACCACGGCGCCGCTCATTTTAGGAAGACTATGGAAAAATCGCGGAGTTTTACCAAGGGTGATAAGAAACAGAGGGAAAGTTGGGGGTTGACTAGTCTCTGACTTATATCTAAGCAATGCAATTATTACAATTGACAACTTTAGCATCTTAAACTAAAAGCATCGAAGTGTAGTATAAATACCACGGCGCAGCTCATTTTAGGAAGACTATGGAAAAATCGGACTTCTGGTAAGGGATGGTGAGGAACAGTTGGAAAATTGAGGGTTGACTAGTCCCTGACCTGTAACTAAGCAATGCAATTACTGCAATTGACAACTTTTGCATCTTAAACTAAAGGCATCGAAGAGTAGTATAAATACCCCGGCCGGCGCCGCTCATTTGAAGCGAGGGTGGGTGGCATATACTTTACACTAGTGTACACCGTACGGTGCAACCCTTTAGGAAGACTATGCAAAAATCGGAGTTTCCCCAAGGGGTGGTGAGGAACAG